AAATAAAAAAAATCTTTAAAAAAAAAAAAAAAAAACCCAACAAACAAAAGTCCAAGAACAGACAACTTTACAGGTAAATTTTACCAAACTCTGTTCTTCTCAAACTATTCCAAAAGACAGAAAAAGAAAGGAAACTTCCAGATTTATTGCATGAGGATAGCATCACCCTGATACCAAAACTAGATAAAGACACCACAAAAAAAAAAAAAAGAACTACAGACCAATATCTCTGATGAACATAGATGCAAAAGTCCTCAACAAAATACTAGCAAACCAAATCCAACAAATACATTAGAAGCCATTCACAATCATGTGGGATTCATTCCTGGAATGAAAGAGTGTTTCACTATCCACAGGTCAGTCAATGTGATACATTGATAAGAAAATTGGATAAAAACCATATGATCATTGGGGCACCTTGGGTGGCTTAGTCCATTAAGCATCGACTCTTGATTTCAGATCAGGTCATGATCTTAGGGTTGTGAGATCAAGCCCCATGTCAAGCTTCATGTTTCATAGAGCCTGCTTAAGATTCTCTCTCCTTCTTCCTCTGCCCCTCCCAACGCCCCAGCCCCCCCCCAAAAAGAAAAAGAAAAAACATGATTGTTCGAATAGGTGCAGAAAAAGGATTTGATAAAGTACAACATCCATTCATGATAAAAACCTTCAACAAAGTATGTTTAGAGGGAATATATTTCAATATAATATAGGCCTTACATGGAAAAACCCACAGTGAACATCATACTCAGTTGTAAAAAACAGAGCTTTCCCCCTAAGGTTAGGAATAAGACAGGATGTACACTCTGATCACTTTTATTCAACATAGTTACTGTCGGTCCTAGCCACAGCACTCAAAACAACAAAAAGAATGGACACCCAGATTGGTAAGGAGGAAGTAAAACTTTCATTGTTTGCAGAGGACATGGTAACATATATACAAAACCCTGAAGACACCCACCAAAAAATGACTAGAACTGATAAAGGAATTCAGTATAGTCCCAGGATTCAAAATCAATGCACAAAAATCCATTGCATTCTGTACACTAATGAAGCAGCAGAAAGAGAAATTTAGACAACAGTCCCATTTATAGTTGTACCAAAAATAGTAAGATACCTAGTAGTAAACTTAACCAAGGAGTTGAAAAACCTGTACTCTGAGAACTATAAAATATTGCTGAAAGAAATTGAAGTTGATACAAACAAATGGATAAGTATTTCATGCTCATGGATTGGGAGAATAAATATTGTTAAATATCCTTTATCCAAAGCTATCTACAGATTTAATGCAATCCCTGTCAAAGTACCAAGAGCATTTTTCACAACTAGAACAAACAGTCCTAAAATTTGTATGGAACCACAAAAAACTCCCAAGAAGCCAAAGCAATCTTGAAAGCAAAACCAGGTTGGAGGTGTCAACAGTTCTAGATTACAAGTTAGGCTGCAAAGCTGTACTAATCAAAAAGTATGGTACAGGCAGAAAAATGGTGGTCAGTAGAACCAAATAGGAAGACCAGAAGCAATCCTACAATTATGTGGTTAATTAATCTTTGACAGAGGAGGAAAGAATATGAAATGGGAAAAAGTCTCTTCAACAAATGGTGTTGGGAAAACTTGATAACTACATGCAAACATAAGAGACTTCACCATGAGACTTCAATCTATAAAAATCCTAGAAGAGAACACAGTAATTTCTCTAATGTTGGCCATAACAATATCTTTCTAGATATATCTTTCGAAGCAAGGAAAACAAAACAGATAATCTGTTAGGACTTCATCAAAGTAAAAACTTCATATAACAGAGGATACAACCAACAAAACCAAAAGACAACTGGTTAAATTGGAGGAGATATTTGCAAGTGACATCTGATAAAGGTTTACTCTCGAATATATATAACTTATACAACTCAACACCAAAAAACAGTCCAATTAAAAATGGGCAGAAGACGTGAACATACATTTCTCTATAGAAGTCATCCAGATAGACACATGAAAAGATGCTCAACATCACTCCTCATCAGGGAAATGCAAATCAGAACTATAATCAGGTATCATCTCACATCTGTCAGAATGGCTAAAACCCCCATACACAAGAAACAAGTGTTCCTGAAGATGCCCAGGAAAAGGAACACTTTGCACTGTTGGTGGGAATGCATACTGGTGGATCCACTCTGGAAAACATTATGGAGCTTCCTCAATAAATTAAAAAATAGGATTATCATATGATCCAGTAATCGTACTATTGGATATTTACCCCCAAAATACAAAACACTAATTTGAAAGGTTATATGCACCCCCGTGTTTATTGCAACATTATTTATATAATTTAATTATATAATTTATATAATTTATATAAAAGGTAGATTATGGAAACAGCCCACATGCCCATTGATAAATGAATGGATAAAGAAAATGTGGTATATATGTGTTTACACAGACACACACAAAATGGAATATTATTCAGTCATGAAAAATGAAATATTGCCATTTCCAACAATGTGGATTGGGCTAGAGAGTATAATGTTAAGCGAAATAAGCCAGTCAGAAAGACAAATACCATATGATTTCACTCATACGTGGAATTTAAGAAACAAAACAAATGAATAAAGGAACAAAAAAATTTAAAAAAAAAAATTAACTACAGCAAACAAATGGATGGTTACTGGATGGGGTGATGTGTGAAGTAAGTAAAGGGTATTAGGGTATTAGGAGTATACTTGATGAGCACTGAGAAGTACATGGAATTTTTGGATCACTGTATTGTACACCTGAAACTAATATAACACTATATGTTATCTATATTGGAATTAAAATTTAAGAAAAACTTTTGAAAAAAAACATAATATCCCTGGCCTCTACCAGCTAGATGCCACTCACCTGACCCCAAGCTATGATAACCAAAAAATGTCTCCACACCTTGCCACATGTCCTCTGGAGGCAAAAGCACTCCCAGTTAAGAATAGCTGTACTAGACAGTTCTCCTTGACTGAAATATATTTAAGCTACAAAGACTATTATGTAATAGCTGACATATTTATGTTGTTGATGCTTATTTATAAAAATCCTCTTCTGCAAATTAAGATAGTTTTCCAGTAAGTCAGAAACAAATCTGGGTAGTTTGGTTTCAGTGGTCTACTGCCCTCCTACCCTGGCTCATAACGTTCTGTCCTTTGTGCAGCAAATTGCAATAGCAAGAGAGGGGGATTTGCTGACAAAGGAGCGTCTCTGCTGTGGCCTGTCTATGTTTGAAGTCATCCTGACTCGGATCCGGACCTTTCTGGATGACCCCATCTGGCGTGGGCCTCTGCCTAGCAATGGAGTCATGCATGTGGATGAGTGTGTTGAGTTTCACAGACTCTGGAGTGCCATGCAATTTGTCTATTGTATTCCTGTGGGAACCCACGAGTTTACAGTCGAGTAAGTATGTGTTCAGTGAATGGGGAAGTGGGAGCAGGCTAACACAGAAGACTGCATTCCTCTGGAAGTTCACTAGAAGGTTGCTGAGCTGCTTTAAAGCCATTAAGTGGAAGTACTTACTTCATGCTGAGGAAGTGACTCAGGATGAAGTTTCTAGGTGTTCTCTGAACCCATGGAAACTTGGGCAAGTTGGGTATGCATTTTTCTAGGGGGAGGAGGCGAGGAGTGTCCATAGCTTCCCAAAGTCATTCTTTAAGAGTCCATGATCTAAAAAAATGGTTAAGAATGTGCCAGAGGAACCCAAAAGAGATGTTTACCAAAAAGAAAGACACATCTCCTGCTGCTCAGCGTTCCCTTGCTGGCCTGTTGCAAGTAGATTCCTTGGTCATTGACCTCTGGACACAAACTTATAGAAGAGTTTATGATTTTTTTTTTTGTTGATTACCCATTGTACTTGTTCCTTCTTGTTTCTAGGCAGTGCTTTGGCGACGGGCTCCACTGGGCTGGCTGTATGATCATTGTACTTCTTGGGCAACAGCGGCGCTTTGCTGTCCTGGATTTCTGCTACCATCTACTTAAAGTCCAGAAACATGATGGCAAAGATGAGATTATAAAAAATGTGGTATGTGAAAGAGACTTATACCATATGTGGAAGTTTCACAAAATAATCATACTTTGTACTTATTAAAAGGCCTTTGTGCAGAATGCTTTTCATCCCAGTACATAAGGTGACACCCACTGAAGCAGCTTTCTTTTCATTTCCAAAATGAATCTAAATATACTTGATAAGTAAAGCAGTCAGGCAGTTAAAGTGCTAATTTTTCCATTTTCTCTTTTTAGGGTACTTAGATCTGCTTCATATTATACAGCCTTATAGGATCTGCCTTTTTAGATTATTGGCGTACCATTCCAGTCTTCTGGCTTCTTTTTTTGTGGCCAAAGGGTGTGTGGGTTTTGTTTGATTTGTTGGTTTGTTTGTTTTGGCTGCCTTTAGATCGTTTTCTCTTTGTCATTTTATGGATTCTTTGTAATTGAATTCTAAAAGTACTCAGCCATTATCTTTTCAAACATTTTAGTTTTTTCTCCCATTCTCTCTATTCTCCTCTTTTAGGACTGCAGTTACATACCTTTTAGACATTCTTCTGGTTCCCTTACCCCTTACCATGTTAGTTTTCAAATTAGTTTCCTAATCCACAAAAGATTGCCAGAGACTTAGTGGTTTAAAAATGACACCCATTCTTTCAGTTCTCTCAGTCAGAAATCTGGGTACAGCATGACTCATCTGGGTCCTTTATCATCTCAAGGCCAAAATTAGTCTATCTGTAGGGCTGTGTTCCTTTCTGGAGCATCTAAGGATGAATTTGCTTCCAGGCTCATTCAGGTGGTTGGCTGGACACAGTCCTTTGAAGTTGGAGGACTGAGGTCCCCATTTCCTTGCTGACCATTAGCCCACATCTCAAGTCCCTCCCTCGCTTCCAGTCTTTCAACTTTTCTTTCTGCCGTATCTCCTGCCTCCACCTGGAGAAAGTTCTTTTCTCATATTATTAGATTGGGGGCTCACCTGGAAAATCTATGGTACTTTCCCCATTTTAAAGTCTAATTAAACTACATTCTCAAAGTCTCTTTTGCCTTGGAAGGCAGCATGTCTATAGGTTCTGGGGATTGGGGCGTGGATGTCTTTGAGGGGCCATTCTAACTCCCATATCTTCATTTTCTTATCTCTCTGGTCTGTTCCCAGAAAAGTGTATTATTTAGTTAACTGATTCACTTCAGCTCTAACTACTGTTTTTAATTTTGAATGAATTTATATTTAAAAGTTAGATTTGGTTCTTCAAATCTTGGTGGTAATTAATAATTTTGTCTTAGATGAATTTTTTTTTACAAATTTCATGTATATCTTGTAATTCTAGTATCTTTTTTTTTTATTATTATTTTATTTATATGACAGAGATCACAAGCAGAGAGGCAGGCAGAGAGAGAGGGGGGAAGCAGGCTCCCCGCTGAGCAGTGTGTCCAATGTACGGCTTTCACCCACTGAGCCCCTGTAATTCTAGTATCTGAAGCCTCAAAGGTTATCTAAAACTCTGAAATGTTTTGTGTGCTAGGTTTATTTGCCAGCTCTTATCCAGTTGAACTTAGATTGCTTTTCTTTTCTTTAAGATTTATTTATTTGAGGGAGAAGAAAATTCAAGCAGATTGCACGATGTGTGGAGCCTCACATGGGGCTCAATCTCATGACCTTGAGATCATAACCTAAGCCAAAACCAAGAGTCAGACGCTCAACTGACTTCACCTCCCAGGCATCCCATGGATTGGTTTTCTCCCTAGATTTTTTTTTCCTCCCTGGATTTTTATTTGCTTCTCATCTCCACAGACTGTTAACAAAATTGGAGTCACTTTAGAGGGGCCTAGCTTTATTGGGAGTTTCTAGGTGTAATCCCACTTGCTTATACCTCAGGACATCTCATCCCATTGCCACTGGTGCCATCTGTCCCTTAGGAGGTCTTGGCTTCCGCTTTACCTCCTGCATAGACAAAACCTGCAATGCTTTTTAAAGTGTCATCTTGTGTATGTGTGTGTGTACATGCATGTGTTCTTTATCAAATTCTGTTGTACTAGCAGTCTTATCAAAGTATCCTGTCGACAAGAACTGGAATCTAAGACTTATACTGGCATTTCTCCACTGACATTCTTTACATTCCCAGTTTTTAGTACACAGCAGCTTAATACCTATGTGTTGAATGAATAGGTCTATCAGTTGTACAGGTAATACAGTTGGTAGCATGAAACCAATGGAGATGTGTTTAAATGCAAAATGTATTCATTGTTCCAATAGGTACATTAGAGAGATAGATATGTGTGCTAGTAGTTTGCTGTAATTTTTATGAGAAAATGTGAAAATCCTGCCATTTTGAAACATGAATAAATGTACATATTTTGGTAATAAAACATCCTAATTTTAATTGTTGCAGCCATTAAAGAAGATGGTAGAGAGAATTCGCAAGTTCCAGATTCTAAATGATGAAATAATTACTATCTTGGACAAGTACTTGAAGTCTGGTGATGGAGAAAGCACCCCCGTGGAGCATGTTCGCTGCTTTCAGCCACCGATCCACCAGTCCCTCGCCAGCAGCTGAGGACACGTACATCATGTTTTTGAAGAATCCCAGTACTGACTGCATTTAATAACTTTTAAGGGCATGTTTTCCTTTCCATAAACTAGAGAGATTTTTAGGGGCTATTTTTCCTTATCTCTGTGCCTGTTAAAGGGGGTACTTTTCAATTTAAAAGCTTAATTTTATAAAATTATTTTTCTAGACTAAAATTGTATATGCTTTTGGTAATTAAAAAGTCTGAGAATATTGGCTGCTGATTGTTGCCATCATGTTCTTACAGAGTAATTTTCCATTTTTTCTATGGAATGTTCCAACAGCTAGCTATGTCAAATTGCTGCTGAGGTCATCCATTCATTCCTTAGCAAAGGATCAATAATGTTTGGGGAAAGATTTACGGACTTAAGAAATGTACTACCAGCTCATTGTAATAAAATGCACTACCAATTAGAATTAAACTTAATTATTTAGCTTTTGTTCGGGGATTTTTCTTGATGGGTCTTTTATGAGTAACCTTTTCTAAGTCATTGTTCCCTTCCCTTTTTTGTGTCAGTGTTTCAGAAAATAGTGAACTTGATTCCTCTGCTTCTACTAAATCCAGTTGTGACAGAATTTAATTTGTAGGGTATGATTTAAAGGTTACAGAAATAAAACTAATAAAACTTGTTTGTGTTTATTCATTTAGTATTGTGACCTTGTGCCCTGGGTGGGGCAAGATACTTTACGTATCTGCACAGACCGGGCCCAGGAGATCTAGTCTAGGTCACCTGGCACCTTGAAAGAAGGGACAAGATCATGATAGGGAGTAATTGCCATATGGCTTTGGAAACATAACACTAAAACCCATCATACATGCTATTGAAGATAAAGTCTGTGAACTACTCCATTGGACTCTTTAACCTTGACTTACTATGAAACAGAACTGTTCATTACCAAGTTACCTAAATATGTTGCTTTAGGTAATGTGACTAACAAACACTGGGGCCAGCATTCTGCCAGACTGAGGGTAGTATCTGCTCACCCTATACTGAAGTATAGACTATGAGGAATTATGAGTAATGCCTAAAATTAAGTGATTCATATTACTAAATTCTCTAAGACTCCATTATAAACCAAATTTAAACATTTATTAAACATTAATGCAACTTCCAGTGCTATTAAGATGTTGAATAAAGGGGGCGCCTGGGTGGCTCAGTGGGTTAAAACCTCTGCCTTCAGCTCATGATCCCAGGGTCCTGGGATGGAGCCCCGCACTGGGCTCTCTGCTCAGCGGGGAGCCTACTTCCCCCTCTCTGTCTGCCTGCCTCTCTGCCTACTTGTGATCTCTGTCTGCCAAGTAAATAAATAAAATCTTTAAAAAAAAAAAACCTTATTAAAAAAAAAGATGTTGAATTAAGAATTTAAATTAATATATATATAATTCTGAGTGCCATATCACAGCCATGGGGGTGAAAATTGGTTCTTACTCTATTAGGTACGAAGTACAGATATATAGTAAACACACAGTATATCTGTGATATTAAGATTACATGGGGGAGGCAATTAGAAAAAAAATGTCTACAAAGGCTCCTTAGAGGATTAAAAAATGCTGGGAAAGGGATTTTATTTTATGAAACCTGGAGACCATTAACTCTGCCCTAATAAAGCCAGTGGAGAGCTGTGTGGCAGGACACCATCACTATAGTGTGGCTCTGGCAATCTCCTGGCAAGGACAGTGAGGCACCAGTGGTGACTGGTTACACAGTAGGGATCAAGCTGTATTACCTTGGGCAGGCGCAACACAATGGGAGCAAGCCCATGTTCTTCCTGCAACCTAGGTGGAAATAGTTTACTTTTTAAAACCCAGTTGATTGCTATGATGATAGGTTCTGAAGCTGGATGGAGTTCATTATACTAGTCTACCTTTTTTGCATACATTTGAAATTTTCCATAAACATTTTTTCATGGACATTTTTAAAAGACCAAAATATACAATAGTCTGAACAAACACTAAAGCAAAGTAAAATACTGGGTACAAAGAAACCGTATTTTATAACCACCTTGTTTGTTCTAAGCATTCAGACTTAGAACTGTTTCAATTTATCTTTTTATTATAACATGAGCTAAATTTAAGAAATTAGTCTTTTGACTTTATTTCCCAGAGTTGTTAGAAGATCTAAATGACAATATAACTCATTATGAAAATACACTGAAAAGTACAAGAGCTGATGTAAAATGGTAAATCAAGATTCCAAGTATCAAGGGATTAGAGTAAGTAAAGAATGAAACCAGTCAGGCTGCAGCCTGACATATGTAGGATGCACTGGTTTAGCAAGGTGCCATCAAGGAATAGGAAGACCATCAAATGTGGGGTGATAAGTCACAGTGTGAGAAACATCTCCCATGGGGCAAGTTCCTACCCTTTATTGTTTGGTAAATTTGAGTTTTTCTTTATTTCATAACTTAGGATTCTCTTAAACTAACATTTCAAAATTAAAAAGATCCATCAAACAGGAGTCATTCTTATATGTAAGGTAAATCACAGGATAAGGTATTAGGAAAATTTTGTTCCTTTTTAAATCAAAAAGCCTTCAAATGGTCAGGGATTGATGGACTGGGGATGACAAATGTACATTTCAGATTTTAATCACCAATGAAAAAATAAAGCATTTTTATCGACTTAAAACTGTCAGTACATTTAGATTGTGGTGAAAGAAAAATTTAAAATACCTCTGTAATAATACAATGTTAATAGAAATTGGCCATGTACTGAGGTCATTTTAGTGAGCTACCATCATGTAAATATAATAATTTCTTGGTCCAAATCAGTGTAACTTATAAAAGATTGTCTCCAGAGAACATTTTTTGAGAACAATGCTTTTTCAGACACCTTCTGATATTCAAATTCACTTGATAACACAATTACAGATTAGCCTTTTAATTACATTTTTTCTTAAAAAGCTGTGAGATTTCCATTTCTTCGGGAGATATTTTCACCACTGTGTTGTTCAATTCCACAGGTCAAGCTTTCTTCATTATTATTAAGAACTTCATACATGTTAGAGAGATTGCCATTCATTGCTTTTTCGTCTTTTCGAAAAGACACAGGGAGACTTGCAAGACTAAAGCTGACGTCTTTAAAGGCATGCAACAAGAATATTCCCACAATGATTGTAAAGAAGCCACTCAAAGTACCAATGACATCATCAATAGGCATATCTTGCCATTCCTTAAAAAGGATAGCTGAACAAGTTAAAACTGATGTTGTAAAGAATACATAATATATTGGAGTCACAATGGAAGTGTTGAATATATCCAGGGCCCTGTTCAGGTAATTAATCTGTGTGCTCACACAGACTATAAGGCTCAGCAGCAGAATCCAGGCCAGGGGATGTCTTAGCACAGGTTTTCCAGCAAACAGCTCTTTGATAGCAATGCCCAGGCCCTTAACACAGGAGACTGAAAATGCTCCAATTACAGAGCAGATTGTTATGTACACAAGAATGTTTGTCTGTCCATGGCGAGGTCCCACCACGAAGATTAGTATCAATAACACAATGACCACAAGTGTTGCAAAGACCACAAAACCTGGGGGAGGCAAAGAAAAGTTGTATTTAGTCAAATGCGTAAGTACTAAAAAAAACCCGAGAATCCAAAACAAATATTAAATCAACAGGAAGGAGAAAAGGAGTGACCTTAAAATAAATATTTTCTTCCTTTTGCTGCCCCAGCAAAAGTATACTCATAAAAATTTAGTTAGATGTATATACTGGAAGATTACACTATGTTTCATATTCATAAACTGTTACTAACATTTTTAACATCGCATTTTAGGGCTCATGATAATTAGATCACAGAAAATGGAGATGAAGCTGATTTGCAGCCATCCACTCTAGAATAGCTCACTACTTCCCACCCACTGGAATGCCCTAACTCCAAGAATGGAAACAATCAAACTAATGGAGAGAAATCATGAGATGACCTTGAACACTCAAAAATTTACAGATGCTAAAAAGAACAGCAGTTAAAATTCAAGTTTGTCCTAAAAGGAGTACATTTTTCAAATTCTTAGAGACAACCACTGGGGTAAATAGCAAACCAGTAAGAGAATCAAAAATACTGTCAGGTTCTGGTTGAATGTGGAGAACTGAACCCAGCATGTTAATAATGAACAACTGTGTAGCACCATGGCCCATCCACTTTTCTCAGCAATTTGCGCAGATTAAATCCTCACATTTAATCCTCACATCCACTCTATAATACAGATACCATCATATGGATTTTGAGATGAGGAAACTGAGCCACAGTAAGTCATGAATTTACTCTGTTCCCTCCTTAAACTCTGCCAATAAAATAAATAGTAATAGGACTCTTAAAGAAGCAAACATACAAAAACAAGAACAGGTAGAGGAGGTGATAGTAACAATATTATGGAAGCCAGAAAGCAGAAGATAAACTCATAACTGTACAACACATCCAAGAAAGCCGAATCCCACATCAACAATGATGAAAGATGGGAAAGTAACTCAGCTTGCAGCACGGAACACTCTGAAGATATAATGGATCTCTGGAAGCGGGGTAAAGGAGAGAGAAAAACAGGAGACCTGACTTCAAGTCTATTAAAGAAGCATTAAAATCCAGGAACTCTGCTCAGTTCTGAACATCTAAGGGACTGCCACAGCAAACTGGAGTACTCTGGCCAGTTGAGTGCGTAGGTAATACACTAAAACAGGGGATTGGGGTAAGGTCTATATCTGTGTTCATGTCCTTTCCCACTCAACTCCTAGGGCTCAGGCAGGAGGCTTTGCTGGGGATCTGACAAGTCTGATTTCAGAAGGCACCCAAGGTTCACCAGGAGAAGCACCAAAACAAGAAAAACACAAAACCTTTGTTTACTCGGTGTAGAGAGGAAAGCTTGGGAACACATAAATTTCCATGCCACAAAAACAATAAAAACTACATTAATAAATCTTCAGAAAAATACTGATGAAATACCAGAGCAATAAAAGCAGCTGGAACTTGGAAGATGAAAATCTGGAGAAAAAGATAAGATCAACACTCACCTCTGCTTTCTACCTTGTGATGACTGCAGGGATAAGGACAGGCATAAACTCCAGCAGAAAG